CTTTCCCTTTATATAAAGGGACTATACATGCTCTCTGCCAATCCCTAGGTACCTTCCCCTCTTTCATACATTTATTAAACAAAAGTACCAACCACTCCAACACTATATCCCCCCCCCCCTGCTTTTAACATTTCTGTCATGATCCCATCAGTTCCAGCTGCTTTACCCCCTTTCATTCTACGTAATGCCTCACATACCTCCCCCACACTTACATTCTGCTCTTCTTCACTCCTAAAAGATGGTATACCTCCCTGACCAGTGCGTGAAATTACTTACTCATTACTTACCTTAAAATATTTGTAGTCTTAATCTAGGGTGAGATGAGTAGTATTTATTGTAAGAAATCAAGTGTGGTATGTATGGTAGTCAGCTGGGCTACCATACCAGGCCATTCCACCCACACATACTATTCTATGATATTTAAGCATCCCAGAGCGATAAAATGCATATACAGTTCACTCATTACTTACCTTAAAATATTTGTAGTCTTAATGTAGTGTCAGAGGTGAGTAAACGAGATAAAACGAATAAATGAGAGAGAGAGAGAGTCAGTACATGAGAGAGGACAGGTGCAGAGTTATGTAAACAAACCAGTTGAACGTAAGTTTTGTAAACAAAGTGTACACGTCTGGTTTGTGTACAAGTTACATTGTGTACAAGTTGTCTCTACATTGATACGGTAGAATAAATAAAAAAGAACACTTCCATTCTCATGTAACACCAATTTTAGAAGAAATGACGCTCTGAGTGAAGGCAACGGAAATAAGTCACTCTGTCTTTTTTGGGTTATCCTAGGTTCTCTGCACATATGCTGCTATGTATGATAATCTATGTAACTATTTGTGTATACCTGAATAAACTTACATACATACGAAAGGAATAATTTTCTACAGTTACCCCCAGTAACACATTTTCTCTTATATTAGACTAGAGAAAATGTTATTCTTGCCGTCACTTGTACAAGTTATCTGGCTACCACATCTCATATTTATGTTTATTTATTCTATTGTGGGGTGTATTTATCATTTTTATATTTTATGTACCATGTTTATTATATAATTTTGAAAAAATATCATGGATGGATTAATGAAAATGTGTATAATAACGTAATATACGACATTTAATGAGACTTGGTGATTATTATTATCATTTCTAATATGGCATCATTTGTGCAAGTCGTCTAGCTACCACATCTCATATTTATGTTTATTTATTCTACTGTGGGATGTATTTATCATCTTTATATGTCATGCATCGTGTTTATTATATAATTTTGAAAAAATGTCATAGATGGATTAATGAAAATATGTATATTAACGTAATATATGACATTTAATGAGACTCGATGATTATTATTATCATTACTAATATGGCATCTCGAGACATAAGACACTCTTATTGATTTTAAAGTGTACCTTCACGCCAGCACAGTGTGTAAGTTTATTTAGGTACAGGTATACATAAGTATAATTATCAGAGTATATATAAAATATGAAATAACTTTTAAAAACACTTGAAATTTTGTTTTTTCCAGACATAATGGAGAGACTTAGTGCTTGGATCTCACAGAGAATGTAAACAACCCGGGTGGGGCGCGGTGACCTTATTAGAAAGTCAGGTGGGGGGAGCCGTATAGCGAGTTTCGGTCATAATTTGAAATGACCGTAAAGCAAAACGCCGTAAAGCGGGGCCCTACTGTACTGGTAGCATATACAATTTCAAATGAGCCTCCTGGGGCTCAAATTTCAAAATAATATTTTGATTTAATTAAATAACTCTTTTCGCTTTGTGACTCTCTGGAGGGCCAACTGTTTCCATCACTTTCTCCTGATATCGTATTGTAGTTGCCCAGTGGGTCTTGGAGCTGTGAAGGGACCTCAACTGATGCCAAGCACAAGATGCAAGCTTTTTTATTTTTTGGTGTAAGATTCATCTGTACAAACTTGCATCTGTGATCACAATAGGGTCCATGCTAACCAACAAGAAGCAAATATCAACTCGCAAAGAGATGATCCTACACTAAGTTTACAGTAGGCACTGGGGCTCATTAAAAGGGAGTACTGACATAAATAAGGCATTATATGAATAAACAGATAGATGGACATAGGGCTCAACTGTGTTGAGTAAACTGTAAACACCGAATTACAGAAAATATCTATCTGGATGAGGACTAATAAACTTACACTAAACATTGACAAAACCTACTTCATTCAGTTTGGTAACAGAGCTACAGATGTACCTCTTAACATAACAATAAACGGATCACCTATCACAAAGCTAACAGGGAAAATTCCTAGGAATCCACCTCGATAATAGACTCAAATTTCATACACATATACAACAAATTTCTAAGAAAATCTCCAAGACTGTAGGCATATTATCGAAGATACGGTACTATGTTCCACAGTCAGCCCTCCTGGCCCTTTATCACTCTCTTATTTACCCCTATCTCACCTATGGAATTTGTGCATGGGGCTCAACAACAATTAACCATCTCAGACCACTAATTACCCAACAAAAGGCTGCAGTTAGAATGATAAATTCTCACTACAGGCAACACACTCCACCAATATTCAAAACACTCAACCTACTCACCATACAAAACATCCATACTTATTATTGCACCTATTACATACATAGAACACTTAACTCTGATATTAACCCTCCCCTCAAACATCTTGCCAACCTCAACAGAACACATGACCATAACACAAGGCACAGATCACTCTTTGATGTTCCTCGTGTCCATCTCACGCTATGCAAAAACTCAATGCACATAAAAGGCCCTAAAATCTGGAATTCATTACCTGTAAATATAAAAGAAACACTACCTGTTTATAAATTCAAGTCTCTTCTCAAAGATCACTTTTTTTTTTTTTTTTTTTTTTTTTTCAACAAGTTGGTCATCTCCCACCGAGGCAAATAAATACTGAATAACTGAACCTTATAAATTGTATATCCTATATGTTACTCACAATTATATCACACAAATGTTAAACCTAGGACCCAATCTAACTTTATTATTTTTTTAAATACACTACCTAACAGAATACTCCATTCGACTGAATGTACAGCAATGCTAGCAACCATATGACCTGCCTTTGTAATACTCATTTGTGTTTTATAGTTATCTGTTTACAATAATGTTTTATCACTGATTTCATCATTGCTTAGTTAATCTTAAGTTAATTTTAAGCCAGCCCGTAATGCTATGTATACAAGTGACTTTGGCATGCTGCTCTTACCTGTATTTCTTGTACCTCTGTTTGTATGCTTAAATTACTAAATAAATAAATAAATAAATAAATAAATTGACAGTCTGACACTCTACTGCCTCGGCCACCCAGGCTTCTAACAGGAAGGATCAGGAACTAACACTTACTGTAGTAACATATTCTGTCAGAGGCACCAACTGTAACCCAAGTGAACTGCTGTTAGAGGCCTGGGTGGCCAAGACAGTAGATCGTCAGACTGTTAACCCATTGACTGTTTTCGACGTATAAATACGTCTTACGAGCCAATGTTTCTGACGTATATATACTCAATAATTCTAGTGGCTTCAAATCAAGCGGGAGAAAGCTGGTAGGCCCACATGTGAGAGAATGGGTCTGTGTGGTGAGTGTGCACCACATAAAAAAATCCTGCAGCACACATTGCGTAATGAGAAAAAAAAAACTCTGATCGTTTTTTTGGAATAAAACGCCGACTTTGAGGTGTATTTTTGTATAGTATTTATCGTTGTATTCGCGTTTTCATGGTCTTAGGTGATAAAATGGAAAACATATTACAGAAATAGAGATGATTTTCATTACTTTGACCATGAAAACGACCTTGAAACTGAGCTCAAAGTAGCGGAAATGTTCGATTTTTACCAATGTTCAGGAGTAAATAAATCACACCACACGTCCAATACACATCAACTGGGGAGTCTAATATTCTTTCACTAGTGCACTGATATTATTTATACCATTTTTACAATAATGCAGTAGTCTGCATAACAGTAAATTTTGTATTTTTTGTATGAATAAAAAATCAAAATAGAAAGCAATAATAATATAAGAGGGGCCTAGAGACGTGACTAATGAACAGAGCATACGTTATTTTAGTGCCACGAATGTCTACCTTGTTTATTCTGGACCCTATTTTGAAATTGGCATCTTTTTTAGTTTGCGTGAAATTGGCCAAATTGCCAATTTCTGACCACCATATTGGGTAGTCCAAATTAGTAAATGGGAGGTTTCTTGTACTCAGCTGATAGATAAAATGGAGTTCTAAAGAAATAGCTATGAGTTTGGTCAACTGGAACAATGGAATTGGCTGAAAATAGGGCTCAAAGTCGGCGAAATCGCCGATACGCATATGTCGCCGAGACCGCTAACTTCGCGGGAGCATAATTCCATGAGTTTTCGACCAAATTTCGAACTTTTGGTGTCATTACCATCGGGAAAAGATTCTCTATCATTTCATAAGAAAAAATAATTTTTTTTTTTTCAAAAATTGAGCGACATAGAATGACAGTTTCAGAAAAGGGCCTGAAACAGTCAAAGGGTTAATTGACGGACTGATGTTTGAGCCCCATATCTACCTTTCTCTTTATTCACTGACAGTTGTTTATTACAACTTAATTTGAGATCAAGATATTATATATTCCAGGTGAACCTCCAAGACTCACTGCTAAAGTGAATACAGCAAAAAAATATGGTACTTCTAAATTTTCATTTCCATGGCAAAGTTCTATCTCTTACTGCATAGAGAGCATAGCTCTACTACAAAGACTATTTCCAGAAAAGTATTGTCCCCTCAACATAATACTACCTACAAAGAAACCTAATATTGAATGTGTTATAAGCAAGACAATATCCAAAAGAAAAGAAAGAGTAATTTGTTAAACCACACTTATGATTGAATTAGTTGGTAAGGTTATAATATAATTATTAATTATGATTTGGACAGTAAATGTTACTAACAGTGAAATTACCAGTGCTTGCATTAGAACTTACCCCATGCATTTGCTTGTTGTGCTGTTATCATATCTCCTGTCAGGCACATCTGCATAGCCCGAGACTTGCCGATTGCTTTAACAAGGCGTTGAGTACCACCTGCCCCAGGAATTGTTCCAATTATAATTTCTGGTTGACCAAATCTAAGAAATAAAAATAATATAAATTATGCCATATACATTTTAATTAAAAACTAATAAAGCATCTAATAAAAACTAACACGCAAGAACAGCATCAACAATGGGACATATCTGAGTGGGCAATAATACAGTACCCCAGTATGTAGGAGCTGTATGTCAAACAGAAATGAATGGACAATGAAACATGTAGTTGCTGTGTGCCAAACAATATACGTAGTAAAGTATACAGCATTACATAATTATGTGGACTCCAGGAATATCCAATTCTGAATATGAAAGTAAATCAATGATAATGATTACAAGACATACCCCAAAATTTTTTCCTTATTAGTGGAAATAAAAACTACACATTTGACTATGCAGCTTGGTAAAATTTGTGTTTTAATTACTTAGTTGTAGCTACAGCAGAAGAATTAAACCCCTAGTATCCAGTCTTTAGTATTTAGTCTATACAGCAATAGAGCTTTTAAAATTTGCAGTAGTTCAAGCACTCACTACATCCCCCTTTAAATCATCCTATTCATCTACCACTCATTAAAAAAAAAAAAAAAATTTCTAGAATCCCTTTTAGCAGATTATCATATCTTTAAGGTTATAGCTCTGGCCTCTTGTTGTACCTGGAGTTTACCTGGAGTTTACCAGTTATAGTTTAAAAATCTTCCTTGTTCATTCTTTCATTTTTTTTTTTTTTTTTCAACAAGTCGGCCGTCTCCCACCGAGGCAGGGTGACCCAAAAAAAAGAAAGAAAATCCCCAAAAAGAAAATACTTTCATCATCATTCAACACTTTCACTTTCATTCTTTCATATCTTTGTATAATCTTGAATGGTTATCATGCCTCTTGAGAGTCAGTGCCATAGTTCTACAGTTTTGAGCTCTGGGCCAGTGCCGTAGTTCTACGGTTCTGAGCTAAGGGTCAGTACTGTAGCACTACTTCATGAGCTCAGCTCACTCAGGTAAGCTGTGAGGGGTAAATTTTGGCCTAGATACGAGAGAATGAGTGTGTGGCGAGTGTGTACCGTATTAAAATAAAAGTCCTGCCCCATGCAGTGCATGATGGGGAAAAACCATGACCAGATTTTTTGTTTAAAATAGCAAATTTGCGGTGTATTTTCAGATGGTTTTATGGTTTTATTCTCGGTGTCTTGGTATCGTTTGATACAATGAAAGATATATTACTGAAATAGAGATGATTTTGATAAATTAGACACATGTGCAACTCTTCGGTATCTTTATTGAGGAAACGTTTCGCCACACAGTGGCTTCATCAGTCCATACATAGGAGAAACTTGAAGAACAGGAGGAGAATGAGGTAATCAGTCCCTCAACCTTGAGTCGATGTGTTCAGTCCATCAAGATTGATGGACTGAACACATCGACTCAAGGTTGAAGGACTGATGAAGCCACTGTGTGGCGAAACGTTTCCTCAATAAAGATACCCAAGAGTTGCACATGTGTCTAATTTATCAACATGTTGGTTCTCTGAACCATTCATCTAGAAAGAGATGATTTTCATTGGTTTCAGGACGAAGTAGCTTGAAACTGAGTTCAAAGTAGCGGAAATATTAAATTTCTGCTGATATTCCAGAGTAAACAAATCACATCACTTGTCCAATACACAATCAACTAATCAGTCTAGTGTGCATTTACAAATGCGCTAACATTTTTTTATACAATTATTACGATAATGCACAAAAGTAAATCTTCTGTTTTGTGTGTGAATAAAAATTCAAAATAGAAAACGTGTAATGTAAGAGAGGCCTGGGAACATTACTAATGAACAGAGGAAAGGTTATTTTAATGGGCATTGTTTTTTCTGGATGCTATTTTGAAATTTGTGTGAAATTGGCCAAATTACCAATTTCTGATCACTTTATTGGGTAGTTGAAATAGCTAATTGGGTGATTTCTTAGGGCTCAAACTGGGCAATATTGCCAATGTGTAAATATCGCTGACATGGCAAAATTTGCAAAAGCGTAATTTCGTCAATTTTCCACCAAATTTCATACTTTTTGTTTTATTGCCTTCAGAAAAAGATTCTCTACCATTTCATAAGAACAAATAACAATTTTTTTGAAAATTCTTGGACCTTTTGGATATTTTTCAGATTGGCAGTCTGGACCCTCAAGGGATATATTCAGTGCTTTCAGCCTTTATTGTAACTCAAATTATGGATATCTCTTACCACTTTCTGCTCAATTTGGCCTACTTATGTATGCCATCCTCTAATGAAAGTCCTGATTAGGTATAGTAAATGCCTACTGGTGATTATTCAGTCAGTCTGGAGCCATAGCAGCTCGCATGCTTCATTATTCAAAATGCAGTATTCCGTTTTCTTAAAGAATCCATGCATAAGGTGTGTATGTCAATTATATTGGGCCCTATATGGGTTCCTGTACTGCAAGATTCTGTGCTTGATCTAAATCTGCTTTTTGGTCATGATTTGCAAGGTGGGAAGCCAAAGTCAGAGAATATTTCCTGATGTAATGCAAATGCATTACATGTCTTGTTAGAAGATGCATGTCACTAGTTTCTTCAATAGAGTAATGGAAAGAAAAACACTATTAAGCCTAAGTGCTTAAACTTCAAAACTAACAAGGAAAATAAAAATTCATCGTGTATATACATCCCTAGTTGTGATGACTCAAGTTTCCCCTAACTTTGCTCCAAGTGACTTACTAAGTTGACCAAAAATGGTTTTCCCCCAATATGGCGATTTCCAGAAACTTACCTCTATTTGGCAAGTACTCAATGGACAACTTTTCTTAAAATTTTTAAAATTTACATCAAACTTTGCATTTTCAATTTAGAGACAAGATTTTTTCTTCTTCAACAAACCAGCCATATCCACCAAGGCAGAGGCAGCCCAAAAAGAAAAACGAAAGTTTCCCTTTTTAACTTCGGTAACGTATACAGGAGAAGGGGTTACCAGCCCCTTGCTCCTGGCATGTTAGTTGCCTCTTGCAACACACATGGACTAAAAGTTCTTTATTATTGAAGTATTTAATTTAAAGATGTATAAACAGTATTTGAATATTTTCCAAAATATATTATGGAGTACTGTACAGCAATTAGGAGACTTTCTAAGCCACAAAGGTTAATGAGTTAAGTGTAAAAGTTCACTACTGTATTAATAAAAACCAATAATATTCTTACTTGGCTTTCTCCCCAGCCAAGATAATATCACACATCATGGCTACTTCACAGCCTCCACCAAGGGCATAACCATTCACAGCAGCTATTGTTGGTTTCTTCACTTTGCTCACACTATCCCAACTAGTACTGAGAAAGTTCCCACCAAAGCAGTCTATAAATCCTTTGTTTTGCATGTCCTTAATATCAGCACCTGTAATATAAAACAGTATAGTACATATGGGTACGCTATGTAAATAAACTCTGCAATATAATCCCAGTCAACTAGTAAATATCTCAATGGAGGTACTGATCATCAGAGCTATCTTTCCAATAATTTTAACAATCCTCGCCTAATCCGGTAATATACACCACCGAGAAATCTGTCAGAGGAATATTGTTTAAACCATGGCTGCAAACAGACCTGTCTGCAGAGTTCCAACTTCCTTCATAAGCACTACCCAACATGCTACCTAGTGGAAGCAGGATCACCTCAACACCATTTTCCAGAGGAGCACTTAGAATCATTGTCATTTAGTAGCTGCAATAAGGGAGCTACAGTACTGAAACTCAAGAAGGATGTGGAGGACATTACTGACATACAAGCTTCAAGAGGATAAGGTGTGTATGTACATAAAAAAAAATTTCAATGGTTTAAGAAATGATAGGAACTGGAAACTAATTATGGTTGATAGCAAATTGGCTGATACTGAAAATAATTACCTAGAATATACAGTACAGTATTATACTGAGGTCATAGTTAGAAAAGTTCCAATGTTCCAGATTCATACTAAGATATCCAAAGTATAACTAAAGAAGGATCTGGTGGACAAGAAGCAAAAATATAGCAAATTCTGAAGAATGGAAACGGTCCTAAATAAACCCATTCAATTTGTGCTGAGCATCAGGCTTGTAACTTTATAGGCATCAAAACCATGGAAAATAACAAAATTTTGAGGAAGATCCTAAATGAAGATCAAATGAATCATCACTCAACAAAAGGCAGCTATCAGAACTGAAACAAACACTCAATAGCCTTATTAAAACCCCCAAATCTTACAATTCAGGCTAAATCTTTTAGAGCCTGAATTTTAATGCTGACCCAGACCTGCAACTCTTCCTGAAAAACTAACAAAAACAAACATAACACTAAAAATCAAAGTAAAGAATTATACATTAATAATTAATTTAAAAAAATGAACACAGACTGGGCTTAGATTAGCTTAATAACAATTATTTAAACAGATTATGCAAAGAGTCCCTAATTACTATTAGATATGGTTTTTACTTTTGTTATACAGTGGACCCTCAGTTATCGGCCAACTCGGCTATAGGCGGATTTTTCGGCTTCCGGTTATCAGCCATTATTTCGCTTATCAGTCGTACAGGACGCGTACACCTGCCCACCGTCAGCTGCTCGCGTCAGTCTGGCCGTGTCTCTGGGCGAGTGAGGAAGCTTCTGCTCTTTCATCCAAACATTTCGCTATAATCCATTGTTTTTGGTGGCTATTTATCAAGTGTAACTGCAAAGTAAGTCACCATGGCCCCAAAGAAAGTTCTTACTAAAGTTACTTTGGTAAAGAAAGTGAGAAACACGATAGACTTCAAGGCAAGGCAGGCATTGAGGCAAGGAGTGATAGCAGGCAGACAGGAAGTGTAGCAGGCATGCAAGGAGTGTAGCAGACATGCAGAAGTGTAGCAAGCATATGCAGGGAGTGTAGGAGGCATGCAGGAAGTGTAGCAGGCATGCAAGGAGTGTAGCAGGCATGCAGGGAGTGTAGCAGGCATGAAGGAAGTGTAGCAGGCATGAAGGAAGTGTAGCAGACATGCAGGAAGTGTAGCAGACATGCAGGAAGTGTAGTAGGCATGCAGGGAGTGTAGCAGGCATGCAGGGAGTGTAGCAGGCATGCAGGGAGTGTAGCAAGCATGCAGGGAGTGTAGCAAGCATGCAGGGAGTGTAGTAGACATGCAGGAAGTGTAGCAGGCATTCTAGAAGCCAGCATTAGTCTTCAATAAAGGCATGTAATACTGATTTAATTGTTAAAATTATTTTTTGTGAATATTTTTTATCTGGAACAGTTTAATTGTATTACATTAATTCTTATGGGAAATATTTCGGTTTTTGGCCATTTCAGTTTTAGGCCGAGCTTCTGGAACAGATTACGGCCGACAACTGAGGGTCCACTGTTTACACATTGCATTCTTGTCTTTGTTGTAAAATTTGGTTGTTTAATTTAACAATATACAGTGGAACCTCGGTTTTCGTAAGCTCTAGTTTGTATGTAAAACTAAGTACTTATAATTATTCTCTATAAAATGTATTTTTTTGTTAATATTTTTGGGTGTCTGGAATGGATTAATTGGATTTACATTATTTCTTACGGGAATTTTTTTTTTTTTTTATCACACTGGCCGATTCCCACCAAGGCAGGGTGGCCCGAAAAAGAAAAACTTTCACCATCATTCACTCCATCACTGTCTTGCCAGAAGGGTGCTTTACACTACAGTTTTTTAACTGCAACATTAACACCCCTCCTTCAGAGTGCAGGAACTGTACTTCCCATCTCCACGACTCAAGTCCGGCCTGCCGGTTTCCCTGAACCCCTTCATAAATGTTACTTTGCTCACACTCCAACAGCACATCAAGTATTAAAAACCATTTGTCTCCATTCACTCCTATCAAACAAGCTCACGCATGCCTGCTGGAAGTCCAAGCCCCTCGCACACAAAACATCCTTTACCCCCTCCCTCCAACCTTCCCTAGGCCGACCCCTACCCCGCCTTCCTTCCACTACAGACTGATACACTCTTGAGTTATTCTGTTTTGCTCCATTCTCTCCACATGTCTGAACCACCTCAACAACCCTTCCTCAGCCCTCTGGACAAGTTTTGGTAATCCCGCACCTCCTCCTAACTTCCAAACTACGAATTCTCTGCATTATATTCACACGACACATTGCTCTCAGACATGACATCTCCACTGCCTCCAGCCTTCTCCTCGCTGCAACATTCATCACCCATGCTTCACACACAGAGCGTTGGTAAAACTATACTCTCATACATTCCCCTCTTTGCTTCCAAGGACAAAGTTCTTTGTCTCCACAGACTCCTAAGTGCACCACTCACTCTTTTCCCCTCATCAATTCTATGATTCACCTCATCTTTCATAGACCCATCCGCTGACACATCCACTCCCAAATATCTGAATACATTCACCTCCTCCATACTCTCTCCCTCCAATCTGACATCCAATCTTTCATCACCTAATCTTTTTGTTATCCTCATAACCTTACTCTTTCCTGTATTCACTTTCAATTTTCTTCTTTTGCACATCCTACCAAATTCATCCACCAATCTCTGCAACTTCTCTTCAGAATCTCCCAAGAGCACAGTGTCATCAGCAAAGAGCAACTGTGACAACTCCCACTTTGTGTGTGATTCTTTATCTTTTAACTTCACGCCTCTTGCCAAGACCCTCACATTTACTTCTCTTACAACCCCATCTATAAATATATTAAACAACCACGGTGACATCACACATCCTTGTTTAAGGCCTACTTTTACTGGGAAATAATTTCCCTCTTTCCTACATACTCTAACTTGAGCCTCACTATCCTCGTAAAAACTCTTCACTGCTTTCAGTAACCTACCTCCTACACCATACACCTGCAACATCTGCCACATTGCCCCCCTATCCACCCTGTCATACACCTTTTCCAAATCCATAAATGCCACGAAGACCTCTTTAGCCTTATCTAAATACTGTTCACTTATATGTTTCACTGTAAACACCTGGTCCACACACCCCCTACCTTTCCTAAAGCCTCCTTGTTCATCTGCTATCCTATTCTCCGTCTTACTCTTAATTCTTTCAATAATAACTCTACCATACACTTTGCCAGGTATACTCAACAGACTTATCCCCCTATAAATTTTGCACTCTCTTTTATCCCCTTTGCCTTTATACAAAGGAACTATGCATGCTCTCTGCCAATCCCTAGGTACCTTACCCTCTTCCATACATTTATTAAATAATTGCACCAACCACTCCAAAACTATATCCCCTCCTGCTTTTAACATTTCTATCTTTATCCCATCAATCCCGGCTGCCTTACCCCCTTTCATTTTACCTACTGCCTCACGAACTTCCCCCACACTCACAACTGCCTCTTCCTCACTCCTACAAGATGTTGTTCCTCCTTGCTCTATACACGAAATCACAGCTTTCCTATCTTCATCAACATTTAACAATTCCTCAAAATATTCCCTCCATCTTCCCAATACCTCTAACTCTCCATTTAATAATTCTCCTCTCCTATTTTTAACTGACAAATCCATTTGTTCTCTAGGCTTTCTTAACTTGTTAATCTCACTCCAAAACTTTTTCTTATTTTCAACAAAATTTGTTGATAACATCTCACCCACTCTCTCATTTGCTCTCTTTTTACATTGCTTCACCACTCTCTTAACCTCTCTTTTTCTCCATATACTCTTCCCTCCTTGCATCACTTCTACTTTGTAAAAACTTCTCATATGCTAACTTTTTCTCCCTTACTACTCTCTTCACATCATCATTCCACCAATCGCTCCTCTTCCCTCCCACACCCACTTTCCTGTAACCACAAACTTCTGCTGAACACACTAACACTACATTTTTAAACCTACCCCATACCTCTTCGACCCCATTGCCTATGCTCTCATTAGCCCATCTATCCTCTAATAGCTGTTTATATCTTACCCTAACTGCCTCCTCTTTTAGTTTATAAACCTTCACCTCTCTCTTCCCTGATGCTTCTATTCTCCTTGTATCCCATCTACCTTTTACTCTCAGTGTAGCTACAACTAGAAAGTGATCTGATATATCTGTGGCCCCTCTATAAACATGTACATCCTGAAGTCTACTCAACAGTCTTTTATCTACCAATACATAATCCAACAAACTACTGTCATTTCGCCCTACATCATATCTTGTATACTTATTTATCCTCTTTTTCTTAAAATATGTATAACCTGTAACTAAACCCCTTTCTATACAAAGTTCAATCAAAGGGCTCCCATTATCATTTACACCTAGCACCCCAAACTTACCTACCACACCCTCTCTAAAAGTTTCTCCTACTTTAGCATTCAGGTCCCCTACCACAATTACTCTCTCACTTGGGAAATATTAACAAAAAATACATCTTATAGAGAACAACTATAGTTTTACATACAAACTAGGGCATACGAAAACCGAGGTTCCACTGTACTTTATATTCTGCATTGTATTTCATTATAGTACCATCTGACTTACGGCTGAGCTTGGTTCCAACCAACTGGTCATAAGTCAAAATGGACGCAAGTTGAACCTTAGAAAATTGCCGACATACTGGGAAGGGCATAATGTCAAACCTTTGCTATATAAAGTTCCTACATAGTATCGTATGTTACTTTTTACTAAATATTTTATTACTGTATATCAATATCGCAGTTACTGTAATGATTTTATTTTATTGTTTTATTTTTGTATTTCAATTCTTAATTTACTTTTTATGCTTTTAGTACTGTATTTTATACTGTAAGGTTTAGGAGAAACACTGTGTACAACACAAACATTTGCATACAAAACAATATGTTCAAATTCACTAAATGTAAGAAACTGAAAACATTTCTATGCATGAACAGAAGAGTACAAAATAACTTAAGCTAAACTGTAAACAGTGTAAATCAAAATTACATAACTGTCATACGGTGGTACGCATCGACCCACCCAGCCCTGCTGCCAGACACAGCCGTAAGTACAAGTGGTTGTATATCGAGCAGGTCGTAAGTCGGGTGGTACTAATTATAGTTTCAATTAATTAATATTACAGCCTTGTCTCCAAGGTTTTACATAACTTGTTATTTATAAAAGAATAATGTACAAATAAACAATGCCAAAAGCATAAGAGAAAATTTTTCTTCAGAAATAATGGTAGAACACTAGAATACAGGAAGGCCCCACTTATACAGCTGGTTAGGTTCCGGGCTACTGCTGTAAAATGAAACATTGCCTTTTCTTCACTTTCAAATGAATACAAAAGCCTAATAACATGTTTACACTATCATATATTAAGTGAGCAATAGAGCTTGTCCTAAAACATGCATGTACAGTACACACATTACTTACCTTAAAATATTTTTGTCCTTAGCTTATACTGAGTGATGAATATATTTATTGCAGGAAGTCTGAATATATGAAGAATGGGTATAAGTGAAAACCACTGCATTAGCAAAATGTCATAGAGCAAAGCACTGTAGAATGGGGCCTGCCTGTAGTATTTTAAAGATAGAAATAACTTACATTACAAGGACTGGAGCACAGCTCTTCTGTGACTACAAAATAAATAATCATAAATTGGTAACCACGGCTAACCTGCAGCAAAGGCTTTTTCACTGCCAGTAAGAACAATAGCACCAATACTGGGATCTGAGTCAAAGTCTTCCAGTGCCTGTTGAACTTCCTGCATGAGTGCATCACATAGAGCATTTAAGGCTTTTGGTCGATTCAGTGTAATTAAGCCAACATTACCAACCTCTCCTTTTTTCTCGATCAAGATGTGTTTGTATGCTGGAGCTGCAACAAAAACAGGAAACTATTAAGAGAGCTTTAACTAAAGAAATTAGAAATTACATAAGCATCATAACAGTAATAAAATAATGTCACATGGCTGATATTATTAGCATAATAAAGCCACAAACTTCAGCACATAGCTAAAATAATTATACATGTGCTCATCTGAAATTATCACTATTGTAAAAAGGCTGTTTATAGGGCTGTCTAGCTTTTTTACCTCAAAGTGAGCATTATCCAACCTTTTAATCTCAGAGTACGTACATATTTACACGAAAGTTGCAAAAGAGCTTGGAAAGAAATTATTCAGATTATTCTGGAGAGAAAATAACCCGGGATAATCCAATAAAGCCACTAGGTCTAGCTTATTACTACTGGGGTCCTTTGATCCTCTTTTCCAAGATGGAACTCTCACTAGTCAGCCAGCACCCAGGTGTTACTACTAAGTAGTAACACCTGGGTGCTAGTTGACTAGCGTTTACTTTCTACCAAGTAAACAGGGCAATTTTTTGACTTGTGCTGGGATCGAGCCAAAATCCTCCAGATGTGGACTGAAGGTACTATCACTTGTTCTAAGGAAGGAACAGGTAGTTCCAATTCCCTGGATCAAGAGTATTATAATAATCAAAGAAAGCACTAAACTGCCAAGGGTCATACAGCACTGTGGGGCAGAAAATAGTGCTGGAGCTATAAACAGCTAGGTGGAGAGGGGATCAGAGGTGAGAGGAGAAAAGGGGTGGAAGGGACGCTAAGGGCTATACGTCAAAGTTTGTATAGTGAAGCAGTTGCTGACAAAAAGTGATTGTAAGTCAAAGGCAGGGCCGTCTGCAAGAAGGAAAGATAAGATAAGAGTAGAAGGGTGGCAGCGACGTTGGAGGTAAATCCTATGAGCTCACTGGTAAACTGAGCAATCTACAAGAAAGTGAAGAACCGAAATAGGGACCCGACAAACCTCACAAAGAGGAATAGGGTGTCGGTCCACGAGATACCCATGAGTAAAGCGAGTATGATCAATGCGGAGACAGGAGAGCGCAGTCTCCCAAGTACAGCAACGGTGGTAAGAAGATGGCCACAAGCCTAAAAGCAGTGTAATAAGAGTGCAATTTGTTATGGTGCATGCCTAACCATCGTTGTTGCTCAATGCCCGCAACGACGGGCAGAGATGGCTGGAAAATAATCTCTGAACGGAATAACTCCACAAGACACCGGAACGTCATGTACTGCTGACCGCACAGCAGCACTTGCTTGTCTATTGCCCTGCACATCAATAGAAAACGACGTCTTTTTTTTGCTAGTCACACGGCGCAACCATAGTTGAATACGAAAGACTAATGGATGAGGGGAATTAAATTGTTTAATGGCTTGTAAGACACTGAGGGAATCTGAAATGATCACAAACGTCGAAGGAGACATATGAATACGGAGAAGTGCTATGAGGATGGCATACAACTCGGCAGTAAAATTACTAGCCGAGTCTAACAAATGTCCTCGGACAACATTGTCAGGGAACACTGCCACAAACCCAATGCCATCACACGATTTAGAACCATCTGTATAAACAGCAATGGCATGAGCACGCAATCATAATAAAAAAAAAAAAAAAAAAGAGAGAGAGAGAGAGAGAGAGAGAGCGAGAAGCAGTCATAGGTAGGAGAGCTTTGGCGCAGGGCAGTAGGGGAGAACAGACATGAACTGTCAGAAACTCCCAAGGGGAAAGGGAAAAGGCAGACTCTAAATGAACATACAAGGAAGACAACTGGGGAGAAGACCGGAGGTAGTGAAGACGAGGAGAAAATGGTCGAGTAAGCAGGGGTGTTTAACAAATAACGGGCTTTTACTAATGTCTGAGACCAACCTATACGTAGAAGGAATACGAAGGTCATGAGAGCAGACAAAGTAACGAAGGGAGCATCACGACGATCAGCTAAGGAAGGGACATTCGCGTCAGCATAGAGGCTTTCAACAGGGGATGAACGAAAGGCACCAAGGCATAAACGTATGCCTTGATGATGAAGGGGATCTAACTTAGAGAGAGTGATAGAAGCTGCAGAATAGACTTGGTCTCCATAATCCACCTTAGACAAGACTAGGGTGGAATGAAAACGGAAGAGTGTCCAGCAATCTACACCCCATGAATGATGCCCAAGAATTTTCAGGAGATTCAGTCGACCATGGCAAGCAGCCTTCAAAGAGGAAATGTGAGGTTTCAACGTCAACCAGCGATCAAAGAGAAGGCCAAGAAACTTGACCATATCACACTGTGGAATATACAAGCCTTGTAAATACAATGGAATATTTGGGACAGGAGGACATCTAGTGAAGGTAATGAAATGGGTTTTTGTACTAGAAAATTTAAATCCATGAGAAGTGCCCCAATGGGAAACCCAGTCAATTGCATCCTGAGGAAGGCCACTACCAGGCGACAGTCAGCGCCTGTGTAAGCTATAGCAAAGCCATCCACATAAAGTGATGACCAAATATGCGATGGAAGAGTGGAAGGTAGGGCATTTATAGCAAAGAGAAAAAGGGTAGTGCTAAGGACACAACCTTGTGGGACACCCTCAACCTGAACACAGTCTGAGGAAAGCAAGGTGCCAACCCAGACACGAAAATGTCTGTAGAAAAAGACACTTATGTACAGTTCAGGACATTTATTAAAGGAAACGTTTCGCCTTTAATAAATGTCCGGAACTGTAAATAAGTGTCTTTTTCCACATCTTGTCGGTATCACCATACCATTTCCTCACAAAAATGTCTGTCAGATAAGAAAGCAGTAAGGAAAGTCGGCAGATTACCGCAGAGGCATGGGCTAAATTGTCATACCTCCAAGTGGTGTCATATGCCTTCTCAAGAACAAAAAAGACTGCTAGGATGGAGTGTTTGCTAGCAAAGGCATTTCACACACATACATATCTAAGTGGAGCAAGGGGTCGACAGTAGAGTGGCCCTTTCAAAAGCCATATTGGTGAGGTGAAAGACTATTGAGAGTCTCCAAATACCATATCAGACGTCTATTTACCGATCGTTCCACCACCTTGCAGACTACACTGGTCAGAGCAATGGGATGATAGTGAGAGGTATCAAGCCCCAAGGTGCCTGGTTTGTGAAACAGTAGGACAATGGCAGATTTCCATTGCTGAGGGAGAACCCCTCATGTCCAAATAAGATTGAAAAGATGCAAAAGGACTGTAAGGGTAGTAGAATGCAGATGTTTTAGCATACTGATATGAATATCAAGCCCAGATGCCGATGGCTGGTGGGCGGAAAGTGTGGACTCTAGCTCTAGGAGAGTGAAAGGTACGTTATACGGCATCATTCCATTAGAGGAGAAACCCAAGGGCAACTGCTCCTTGGTAGACTTAGACGCAAGAAATGAGGGACAAAGGTGAAGCCTTTGGAAGACACGGACAGGATGGTTCCCGAGTTCCATGGCAACTTCAAGAGGTTCCACAACACTAATACCAGCAGCCTGCAAAATGGGAGCTGAGTCCAGAGTGTACTTACCACACAACATCCGTACCTTCTTACAAACAGCATACATAGGGGAAGACGAGGTAATGGTAGACATACATGTATAGTCTTGCCAAGAAGTGTGCTTAGCATTGTGTATGACGCTGCAAGCAACTGCCCTTGCCCACTTAAAATCCAAGAGACTATCTGAGGTCCGATTATATCGATAACAGCCTCACGCAGCACGTTTCAAACACACTGCACGGGCACACGCAGGAAACCACCAAGACACGTATGTCTGAGAATGCCTGCCTGAGGTTTGAGGGATAGAATGTGATGCCGCAGTCAAAACTAAGGTTGAAAACTGGTGCACTAGTTCATCAAAAGAGGACAAAAGAGGGTCCCCACAAAAAGTGGTATGACAAGAGTACAAGTCCCAATTCACTCGTGCAAATTGCCAACGAGGGTTACAAGGTGGTCGGGAATACGTAGTTGACGTAAGAATAAGAAAGTAATCACTGTCTTGTAAATCTGGGAGAAGAGACCAAGTGTAATCAAGTGCAACTGACGAACAGACAGAAAGATCAATGCAAGAAAGAGAGAGTGCGAGAGTCAAAGTGGGTAGGAGCACCCATATTTAAAACATGAAGAGAATGAGAAGCGAGAAAATTCTTCAACTGATCACCACGAGTCACAGTGGGACCCTCACCACAGATGAAGGTAAGCAGTAAAATCATCTAACAACAAGATGGGTGGCAGTAGAGAAGAGATCAAAAACGCAATATCCAAGATACAGAATGCACGGGAGGGGGAAAGATATAGAAAGCAAACTGTATACCATCTGTCCAAATAAATTCAAATTCACTTCTTTCTTTGCAAGTAGTACATTGATATTACATTTTTACAATAATGGGTTGCAGTGCAAGGAGAGCCTTTATTATGCCTAGGCATTATGGGATGACTTAATTTAATGGCTTACTCACTACTTAACACTAAAGAAATTTATCATAGTTGTACAGTAGTTCTATTAATTATAAGTGAATCTATTTTATAAATACGAGCTGCAGCATAATGCACCAGAGAACGAACAAAAGCTTGTCGATATGGTATACCAATGAGCAAAAGAAGCGCGCTCTCATTAAATGACTCATCAGGAAAGGGATCAGAAAAATGTAACAGCACATAGCCCAAAACGGGACGAATAACAGCTGAACAAATTTTGGGCTCTTGTAATCCGACACACATTGGGGAAAACTGGGAGAGCAACACTTGGAGCTCTCCCCGATTACCCCTGAGGCCACGAATATTCCACTGTAAATAAGATGTTATTTACAAAGACAGGTATACCAAGAAGAAGCAATAAAATCTATGGGCTATTAGCGTCAGTGAAGTCAACATATGGAGGCAACCGTAAGCGTGTAAGCAAGGAGGAATCAGAATGCTGTGAAGGAAAAGATAGTTGCGAGAGTTGTGAAAAAGAAGGGGTAGAAGGAGGCACATCGGTGTCCATCAACAGTTTCATCTCCGCAATATAGATGGAGATAACGTCAAGTGTCTCAGCGGATAAGGAAGATGCCGATACCGTGATTTCAGAGACAGGTGAGATAGAGCACATAGAGATTGGGGAGACTATGGCGGGGGCAGAAGAGTCCTGCAGTGGAACAGGAGAGGAAGGAGGTTGGAAGGTAACTAGGGAAGAAGACTGGGGAGGAACAGAAGAGGGGACTACATGAGGGGGGGAGGTGAACCTCCACCTTTGTGTGAGAATTAGAAAGGGGGTGAGAACTAGGCACTGAGGTAGTAGATAGATTCAACTTCACTGGTGATAAGCGCAAAGAAGGCAAGCTATAGAAAAAAAGTCTGCTATGGAAAACTCCAGGGAATAAAAATTAGATCAGAGTATAAAACAAATTCTAACTACACAAAAGTGCAAAAAATTAATGCGAAGGACCTGGGAATAATAACGTCAGAGTCTCACTTTCAAAGATCACAATTTATCTACCATATCTACTAGGAAAATGATAGGATGGATAATAAAAACCTTCAAAACTAGGAATGCCAAGCCAATGATGATTCTCTTCAAATCGCTGGTTCTATCTAGGCTGGAATATTGCTATACAATAACAGCCCTTTTCAAGGCAGGCAAACCTGCAGACCTGGAGAATATACAAAGAACTTTCACTGCAAGTATAAGTATGATAAAGCACCTAAAGTACTGGGAGTGGTTGAAGGCCCATGCCCTGTACTCCTTGGAACACAGGCGAGAAAGATACATGATAATATATACTTGAAAACTCTTCAGAGGGGCTAGTTTACCTGGAGTTTACCTGGAGAGAGTTTCGGGGGTCAACGCCCCCACGGCCCGGTCTGTGACCAGGCCTCCTGGTGGATCAGCGCCTGATCAACCAGGCTGTTGCTGCTGGCTGCACGCAAACCAACGTACGAGCCACAGCCTGGCTGATCAGGAACTGACTTTAGGTGCTTGTCCAGTGCCAGCTTGAAGACTGCCAGGGGTCTGTTGGTAATCCCCCTTATGTGTGCTGGGAGGCAGTTGAACAGTCTCGGGCCCCTGACACTTATTGTATGGTCTCTTAACGTGCTAGTGACACCCCTGCTTTTCATTGGGGGGATGGTGCATCGTCTGCCAAGTCTTTTGCTTTCGTAGTGAGTGATTTTCGTGTGCAAGTTCGGTACTAGTCCCTCTAGGATTTTCCAGGTGTATATAATCATGTATCTCTCCCTCCTGCGTTCCAGGGAATACAGGTTTAGAAACCTCAAGCGCTCCCAGTAATTGAGGTGTTTTATCTCCGTTATGCGCGCCGTGAAAGTTCTCTGTACATTTTCTAGGTCGGCAATTTCACCTGCCTTGAAAGGTGCTGTTAGAGTGCAGCAATATTCCAGCCTTGATAGAACAAGTGACCTGAAGAGTGTCATCATGGGCTTGGCCTCCCTAGTTTTGAAGGTTCTCATTATCCATCCTGTCATTTTTCTAGCAGATGCGATTGATACAATGTTATGGTCCTTGAAGTTGAGATCCTCCGACATAATCACTCCCAGGTCTTTGACGTTGATGTTTCGCTCTATTTTGTGGCCAGAATTTGTTTTGTACTCTGATGAAGATTTAATTTCCTCATGTTTACCATATCTGAGTAATTGAAATTTCTCATCGTTGAACTTCATATTGTTTTCTGCAGCCCACTGAAAGATTTGGTTGATGTCCGCCTGGAGCCTTGCAGTGTCTGCAATGGAAGACACTGTCATGCAGATTCGGGTGTCATCTGCAAAGGAAGACACGGTGCTGTGGCTGACATCCTTGTCTATGTCGGATATGAGGATGAGGAACAAGATGGGAGCTAGTACTGTGCCTTGTGGAACAGAGCTTTTCACCGTAGCTGCCTCGGACTTTACTCTGTTGACGACTACTCTCTGTGTTCTGTTAGTGAGGAAATTATAGATCCATCGACCACTTTTCCTGTTATTCCTTTAGCGCGCATTTTGTGCGCTATTACGCCATGGTCACACTTGTCGAAGGCTTTTGCAAAGTCTGTATATATTACATCTGCATTCTTTTTGTCTTCTAGTGCATTTAGGACCTTGTCGTAGTGATCCAGTAGTTGAGACAGACAGGAGCGACCTGTTCTAAACCCATGTTGCCCTGGGTTGTGTAACTGATGGGTTTCTAGATGGGTGGTGATCTTGCTTCTTAGGACCCTTTCAAAGATTTTTATGATATGGGATGTTAGTGCTATTGGTCTGTAGTTCTTTGCTGTTGCTTTACTGCCCCCTTTGTGGAGTGGGGCTATGTCTGTTGTTTTTAGTAACTGAGGGACGACCCCCGTGTCCATGCTCCCTCCCCATAGGATGGAAAAGGCTCGTGATAGGGGCTTCTTGCAGTTCTTGATGAACACAGAGTTCCATGAGTCTGGCCCTGGGGCAGAGTGCATGGGCATGTCATTTATCGCCTGTTCGAAGTCATTTGGCGTCAGGATAACATCGGATAGGCTTGTGTTAATCAAATTTTGTGGCTCTCTCATAAAAAATTCATTTTGATCTTCGACTCTCAGTCTGGTTAGCGGCTTGTTAAAAACTGAGTCATATTGGGACTTGAGTAGCTCACTCATTTCCTTGCTGTCATCTGTGTAGGACCCATCTTGTTTAAGTAGGGGCCCAATACTGGACGTTGTTCTCGATTTTGATTTGGCATAGGAGAAGAAATACTTTGGGTTTCTTTCGATTTCATTTATGGCTTTTAGTTCTTCCCGCGATTCCTGACTCCTAAAGGATTCTTTTAGCTTAAGTTCGATGCTTGCTATTTCTCTGACCAGTGTCTCCCTGCGCATTTCAGATATATTGACCTCTTTTAGCCGCTCTGTTATTCTTTTCCGTCGCCTGTAAAGGGAGCGCCTGTCTCTTTCTATTTTACATCTACTCCTCCTTTTTCTTAGAGGAATAAGCCTTGTGCATACATCGAGTGCCACCGAGTTAATCTGTTCTAGGCATAAGTTTGGGTCTGTGTTGCTTAGTATATCTTCCCAGCTTATATCGGTTAGGACTTGGTTTACTTGGTCCCACTTTATGTTTTTGTAATTGAAGTTGAATTTGGTGAATGCTCCCTCGTGACTAGTCTCATTTTGTCGGTCTGGGGCTCCACGCATACATGTCTGAACCTCAATTATGTTGTGATCTGAGTATATTGTTTTTGATATGGTGACATTTCTTATCAGATCATCATTGTTAGTGAAGATGAGGTCTAGTGTATTCTCCAGTCTAGTAGGCTCTATTATTTGCTGGTTTAAATTGAATTTTGTGCAGAGATTTAAAAGCTCGTGTGAGTGTGAGTTTTCATCAGAGCTGCCTCCTGGTGTTATTACTGCAACAATATTATTTGCTATATTCCTCCATTTTAGGTGCCTTAAGTTGAAATCCCCCAGGAGCAAGATGTTGGGTGCAGGAGCTGGAAGATTTTCCAGACAGTGGTCAATTTTTAACAGCTGTTCCTGGAATTGCTGGGATGTTGCATCCGGAGGCTTGTAGACTACCACAATGACTAGGTTTTGGTTCTCGACCTTTACTGCTAAAACTTCCACTACGTCATTTGAGGCATTAAGCAGTTCTGTGCAAACAAGTGACTCTGCAATGTACAGGCCAACCCCCCCCCTTTTGCCTGTTCACTCTGTCACATCTGTATAGGTTGTAACCTGGGATCCATATTTCGTTGTCCAAGTTATCCTTTATGTGGGTCTCAGTGAAAGCCGCGAACATTGCCTTTGCCTCTGCAAGCAGTCCACGGATGAAAGGTATTTTGTTGTTTGTTGCTGGCTTTAGACCCTGTATATTTGCAAAGAAGAATGTTATCGGACTGGTGGTAAATCACTCCCTATGAAAGCTAAAACCTCAGCAAGCTGTGCAACATCCCCCCCCCCTCCCAGTAAAAGCAAGAGCCCCATCAATAAGCTAAGAGACAACACAATAAGTGTCAGGGGCACAAGACTGTTCAACTGCCTCCCAGCTGTCTGAACAAGTCTATTGAACAGGCGAAACCTCTCGCCCCCCCCCCCCCAAAAAAAAAAAAAAACAGACCAAGCTGGTGCACATCTTACCCCAATGGATTATTATAATCAAAAAGAAGCGCTAAGCCACAAGGGCTATACAGCGCTTTACCCCAATGGAATAAGTCAGACTGTGTTATCCTAAGTAATTTACACTTTGTATGATAATTATAATAATGTGTACCTGTGCCTAAATAAACTTACTTACTCTTACTCCCTGGATCGAAAGCCCCTCGCCATTAAGGAGTGAGTTTAATGTTGCTTGAGGCACATCAATAATATCTAGTCACATTTATAACAATGAATATTGTCGTACAGACACACAACTCTTGACTCACCAGAGCACATGTGCCTCTTAACACGAGCAGTAACAGCTGAAGCAGCTCCATGACACCTGACATTATGTGCAGCTAGTAATGATGGACGCAGAACTGTACTTAGTTGTAGTAGCCTGAGTCTTGCTACACCCGCCATGTTGCCGGGTACTGCTGCCACTCATGCTGATCATCCTCACTCTTACTAGTTATATAAACTTATTACTGCCACATTATATTTTATTTATGGTAAGCGCTGAGCCCATAGTGTTCATAAAGCATGTGGGGAATGGAAGGCAAAAAAATATTAATTCAAGGAGACGTATACTTATGATTAAGATTTATTTCCAGTTACTGCCTTAGAAAATCAACAATAAAATAATATATTTATTTGTACATGTACAAGGTATACAATCCTGGTTGACATCATTGACATACTATATAGAAAACCGCTTGTTATGCAGACAATTTCGGACAAATTAAGTCAATTTTGTTCCAGGATGCGACCCACAGCAGTCAACTAACACCCAGGTACCTATTTTACTGATGGTGAACATAGACATCGACACCATGCCTAACCCTTCTACGGTAGGGTAGGTGACTGAGCTCGAGCCTTTAGCTCATAAGACTGTCATTCCCATTTGCCCCCTTGGGGCGGGAATGGCAGACCAGAGAGGCCTAGCTTGTGGCTAGGCCTGGGGACAGTTGGTCCCAAAGATGAGGAGGTACTTGTGCCTCCTCCCATGGGAGACTTAGGTCTCAGACACTCCCTAAAGAGGGAGCCAAGGCCGGGCCACCACTTGGAAAAGGCCCGGGCCGGGAGAATACCGGCTAATCTTTACTAACTAACATAGACAACCAGTGTGAGGAAAGACATTCAATGTTTCAACCGTCGCCGGGAATCGAACCCGAACCCTCACCGTGTGAAGCGAGAGCTTTTGCCACCAAGCCACAGGACACCGTTAATTGAATTATTAACCCCAGTGGGTTAGTAACCCAGGATAACCCAATAAAGTCAACCAATGTGACTTATTTCCACTGCGGAAAACCCACAAGTCCCAAGTACACTGGTAGGTAACAAGGGCAACAGGTGGTCAGATTAGATAAGTCGTGGCTCATACAGATCACATCCTTTTGAAAAGAAATGGCGCATTAATTTATTTTATACAATACAAACACGCAGTGTCTACCAGGTGAGGCTCGCAGGGCCTTGTCTATTATATAATGTCTATTATATAATGTATTATACACTACTCTTGCCCTTTGTGGTATTGACAGATAAGCTATAAATCACCCAGAACAAAATGGTGAGATTCATTCTGGACTGTAACTATCTCTGTTCATATATAAAAAATCAAAGTAAAATTCGAACCAACTATGATATATATGTTTAGTATTAAGTAGTTAGTAAAGTATTAAGTTTAGTCTGTCAGTAATGTCTGGGCATGATAGTGACTTTCTTTGCACTTGAAAATTAATATTGTAATTACACATTGTAGACTATGCATGAAAATAGACTCCTTATAACATGTCAGTCACATATTGTAAACTTTGCAAAGAAATAATAATTTGAATTTGAATTTGATATGGCTCCAAGAGAGCATGTAGGCCAGAATGAATTACAACAAATATATATATGCTGAATGTTCAACACAGAGTAAAACAAGTAAAGCTAAATTATGTTTATAAAATTGCTCACAACCAGTGTCCTCAATATCTTGCTGCCAATTTTGTTAAGTCCTGGAACTAAAGCAATTATAGAACTATGGTAAGAGAGGACAACTTTGCTGTACCTGGAGTCAGTGGTCAGGATTCAGATACTTTTTTCTGTATTACAATAAAAGAGTGGAATAGACTGCATGCACATGTCAGAGCCTGTCATGGCATGAGCCAATTCAAGGAGAGAAACAAAATGTACCTTATGAATAAAGCTACAGAAAGGAAGGAGAGTTATTTTATAATCTGATCCTACCTTTAATGTCAATGAATTTTACCTCTCCCTTAGTATATTTTGTTTTATTGTGACAGCTTTTAAATAGTTAAGATACTTAGTTGTTTTTAACTTTTAAATAAATAATACCTATCACAAGGACCCCAATGGAAATTAGTTACTTTGACTTTTTTGGGGGTTATCCAAGGTTCTCTACACATATGCTATGTATGATAATCTATGTAACTGTGTATACCGGAATAAACTTACATTTTACCACAGCACAAGCGCTGTATAACCCTGATTGGTTTAGCGTTTATTTTTTTTATTATGATAATAGTTTACCCCGGCACAAATTATTACTTTTTATGAAAAGCATTATGGGAAATTAGCAAAAAAAAAAAAAAAATATTTTGGGACGTGCAGACATGGGAAATCTGGAAAAACAGACGGGACGTGCAACTATGACCACCCTAGAAAATGCCGTGCCCATATGACAACAGGAAAATGCAAACTCCCTTCCTGTGCTATAACTTAAATTGCCAGGCACACTATCTAAAGGGGACAAAAAGATACAAAACATCCAGGCCATGGGAAAACCTGGGTAGCCACAGCCACTCAAGAGGGAGAGGTTTTTTAGTGCCAGGAAGGAAAAAAACTGGCAGGAAATGGCAGAAATCGTACACCAAATCCAGTCATTCCTGGAGTGGAACCACAGTCGATGGCCTCCACTCCAAACCAACAGATACAGATACTAATGCCGGAAAAAAAATCCCCCCCAGTACCAACAATACCACCAGTCCGATAACATTCTTCTTTGCAAATATACAGGGTCTAAAGCCAGCAACAAACAACAAAATACCTTTCATCCGTGGACTGCTTGCAGAGGCAAAGGCAATGTTCGCTGCTTTCACGGAGACCCACATAAAGGATCACTTCGACAACGAAATATGGATCCCAGGTTACAACCTATACAGATGTGACAGAATGAACAGACAAAAAAAAGGGGGGGGTTGGCCTGTACATTGCAGAGTCACTTGTTTGCACAGAACTGCTTAATGCCTCAAATGATGTAGTGGAAGTTTTAGCAGTAAAGATCGAGAACCAAAACCTAGTCATTGTGGTAGTCTACAAGCCTCCGGATGCAACATCCCAGCAATTCCAGGAACAGCTGTTAAAAATTGACCACTGTCTGGATAATCTTCCAGCTCCTGCACCCAACATCTTGCTCCTGGGGGATTTCAACTTAAGGCACCTAAAATGGAGGAATATAGCAAATAATATTGTTGCAGTAATAACACCAGGAGGCAGCTCTGATGAAAACTCACACTCACACGAGCTTTTAAATCTCTGCACAAAATTCAATTTAAACCAGCAAATAATAGAGCCTACTAGACTGGAGAATACACTACCTGGAGTTTACCTGGAGAGAGTTCCGGGGGTCAACGCCCTCGCGGCCCGGTCTCTGACCAGGCCTCCTGGTGGATCAGAGCCTGATCAACCAGGCTGTTGCTGCTGGCTGCACGCAAACCAACGTACGAGCCACAGCCCGGCTGATCAGGAACTGACTTTAGGCGCTTGTCCAGTGCCAGCTTGAAGACTGCCAGGGGTCTGTTGGTAATCCCCCTTATGTGTGCTGGGAGGCAGTTGAACAGTCTCGGGCCCCTGACACTTATTGTATGGTCTCTTAACGTGCTAGTGACACCCCTGCTTTTCATTGGGAAGATGGTGCATCGTCTGCCAAGTCTTTTGCTTTCGTAGTGAGTGATTTTCGTGTGCAAGTTCGGTACTAGTCCCTCTAGGATTTTCCAGGTGTATATAATCATGTATCTCTCCCTCCTGCATTCCAGGGAATACAGGTTTAGGAACCTCAAGCGTTCCCAGTAATTGAGGTGTTTTATCTCCGTTATGCGCGCCGTGAAAGTTCTCTGTACATTTTCTTACCTGGAGTTTACCTGGAGAGAGTTCCGGGGGTCGGCAATTTCACCTGCCTTGAAAGGTGCTGTTAGTGTGCAGCAATATTCCAGCCTAGATAGAACAAGTGACCTGAAGAGTGTCATCATGGGCTTGGCCTCCCTAGTTTTGAAGGTTCTCATTATCCATCCTGTCATTTTTCTAGCAGATGCGATTGATACAATGTTATGGTCCTTGAAGATGAGATCCTCCGACATAATCACTCCCAGGTCTTTGACGTTGGTGTTTCGCTCTATTTTGTGGCCAGAATTTGTTTTGTACTCTGATGAAGATTTAATTTCCTCATGTTTACCATATCTGAGTAATTGAAATTTCTCATCGTTGAACTTCATATTGTTTTCTGCAGCCCACTGAAAGATTTGGTTGATGTCCGCCTGGAGCCTTGCAGTGTCTGCAATGGAAGACACTGTCATGCAGATTCGGGTGTCATCTGCAAAGGAAGACACGGTGCTGTGGCTGACATCCTTGTCTATGTCGGATATGAGGATGAGGAACAAGATGGGAGCGAGTACTGTGCCTTGTGGAAGAGAGCTTTTCACCGTACCTGCCTCGGACTTTACTCTGTTGACGACTACTCTCTGTGTTCTGTTAGTGAGGAAATTATAGATCCATCGACCGACTTTTCCTGTCATTTCTTTAGCACGCATTTTGTGCGCTATTACGCAATGGTCACACTTGTCGAAGGCTTTTGCAAAGTCTGTATATATTACATCTGCATTCTTTTTGTCTTCTAGTGCATTTAGGACCTTGTCCTTGTTTTATCACTGATTTCATCATTGCTTAGTTAATCTTAAGTTAATTTTAAGCCAGCCCGTAATGCTATGCATATAAGTGGCTTTGGCATGCTGCTCTTACCTGTATTTTTTGTACCTCTGTTTGTATGCTTAAATTACTAAATAAATAAATAAATAAAAATCCAATAGTTGAGACAGACAGGAGCGACCTGTTCTAAACCTGTTTCCCTGGGTTGTGTAACGGATGGGTTTCTAGATGGGTGGTGATCTTGCTTCTTAGGACCCTTTCAAAGATTTTTATGATATGGGATGTTAGTGCTATTGGTCTGTAGTTCTTTGCTGTTGCTTTACTGCCCCCTTTGTGGAGTGGGGCTATGTCTGTTGTTTTTAGTAACTGTTTGACGACCCCCGTGTCCATGCTCCCTCTCCATAGGATGGAAAAGGCAGTTCTTGATGAACACAGAGTTCCATGAGTCTGGCCCTGGGGCAGAGTGCATGGGCATGTCATTTATCGCCTGTTCGAAGTCATTTGGCGTCAGGATAACATCGGATATGCTTGTGTTAATCAAATTTT